ACTCTACAAAAATTTAATAAAAAAATTTTGAATTATTATTTATATAAATCGTTAAATTTTTATTTGAAATTTATATATAAAAGAATCATAATGTCAAACTAAAATATTAAAAATAAATGAAAAGAATAACAATCAATATGTTGACTTTAACAAAGTTCTGTATGCCTATAACATGGACCACCTTTCCTCTATATTAGGTTATTACCACTGTTTTCTCAAAAATCCTTAACTAGCCTAGCCACATGTAGGGGTGGGCAAAAGTCGGTATTCCTGACTCGTCTCATCGGGACGTATCGATTATTCGGGACTTGGTATCGGGAATGTACCGATAGGAATGAAAATCTGGTACAAGGGCTGTACCATTTAATTTATTCGGTCGGTATTTGGTTTGTGACTTGAAAATACCGAATTCCGTACCAAATATTATATAATTTTATTTAAATATATATTTATTAATAAATTAAAATTTATTTTATTAATTAAAAATAAGAAAAGCATATATGATAATAACAAAAACTAAATCCCCAATTCTTACGCTTCCACAGTTCCACTTTTTCTAATTTTGCTCAACGGCTTCTCCTCTCATCTCTTAGACTCCACATCAACCCCATCAACGAAAAGGAAGATTGACAGGAAGTCTTTGCTCTTTGGTCTTCCACTCACAAAACGGCAAGCCCCCCCTCCAATTTCTGAAATTGTTCCATTGGTAAGCCCCCTCTTTCACTAGAATTCTTCTTCTTCTTCTTCTTCTTCTTCTTTTTCCCTTAGATTTCAACTCTTCTCCCTTTGCCCCTCAAATCTTCAATCACCTTCGATTCCTAAAATTATTTCCCTGAAAGATCTACTGCCAAAGCATTTTTGAAAATGCAGAGATTGCATGTGAAAAATCACCCTTTTAGGTATCAAAACTGCATGCCTTTTCCTCCTGTTTTTAATTTCAAAGCAAATTATTTGTTATTGATATTAAACCAGGAACTGCATGTTGAATTTTTCTTTTTTTGGTGCAGCTGCAAAAGTTAATAATATTGAAAACTAGTGCATGCTGTGGTTGAATTCAAAATTAATGGGTACCAATCGGTCGGTACTCGGTTTTTACTTTAAAAGTACCGAGTACCGATTCCCGAATCTTATACTGGATTAATTTCTTTAGTTCGATACTCGGTATCCCCTTTGAATACCGAATAAAATCGGTACAATAATGAACCGGTCCAGTTCGGTCCAGTACTATACCGATGCCCACCCCTAGCCATGTATTTGAGAATAAGACATGCCACTTGCTTTGTATAAAAACAAGAAAATAGGATTTTTTAGACAACCTTCCTCCTTTCCAACAATTGACCTCTAAAAGGATAGTTGGAAAAAATCTCTACAAACTAAACTATGCCCTAGATGACATTACAAAAAAAATAATGGAATTTTGCAAAATGGGTTACTAATTGCCTCGAACACCTTTAAGGACTTCAAAACCACTAAAGTGAAACAAAAGCTACAAATCCTTAATTAAATGTAATATCCCAAGGCAAATTATCTTAACATGAATCAATAAAAGAAAACAACAAGCCACAGAAATAAATTCACGAACAACAGATTGTGCAAAATTGCAGACAATGATTTTAACTACGCAATCCATAACTATTAAAGTAATTACTTGTAGATTTAAAATAAAAATAGTTGAACTGTTTGATTGGTAAAACTAAAGGAGAATCTATGAATTGATTAAAGTCTAGAAATTGTAAAATTAAATCTTAATCTAGAAATTGAAATTAAAGAAGCTGTAATTCTGGTAGCTATGCATAAACCAAAAAAAAAAAAAGGCAGA